TATGGCAGATAAGGGAGATTAGCTGAAGTAGGCAGAATGTGGAGGGTCTGAGAATCAGGGAATTATTCCAGAAGGATCTGCCACCCTGATCAAAAAAAGAAACAAAAGCCCAGAGAGGTAAAGGGCCTCAGCTCTCTGCCTCCCAGTTTAATCACCTTGTCCTGTCACCACCTTCTTCTCCAAGGAAAGAGTGTGTGTAGGTGGGGAGGAAAGGAAGGAGCAGGGAAAGTTTTTGTCATTTATGAGACACCTTTATAGGAGGCAAGCTGATCATTAGCCCTGTTTTATAGATAAGGAAACTGAAGCTTGCAATGACTGTTATTCAACTGGATTGGCCAAACAATATATAAGACTCAAGAATAAAAATAATTTGTCTGCAAAATGGAAGACTGAACTTGCCCAAGAGAAGAGTTAAAACAATCCCTTCACCTTTAAATGATCAGCAGAGGGAATCCAAAACTTTTAAATGTCTATCACTTATCCTCCCATAAAGATAAACTGAGCCCAGAGCCTCGCACACGTTAAGTGTTCAGGAAATGGAAGTTCTTATCATCATTATCACTATTATTAAATTTATGACTACACATTCAATGCTGGGGATACAAAAGTAAATAAAACTCCTTCCTGTCTTTGAGGAATTCATCCTCATGAGAGGGATATTGGGGGTACAAAAAAAAAAGACTCCTACACTTGTTGGACTCTACAATGTACTTTTGACATACACCATCTCACTAAATTCTCAAAACAACCTTGTGAGGAAGGCATTCTCCCCATTTTAGAGATAAGGAAACTGAGGCTCAGTGGGCTCCAATGACATGCCCAGATATTGTAAAATATGAGTAAAATGGAAAAAAATAATTTTAGGAGGAAAATCACCTTTATTTGATTAACAAATGTGTTTTAAAAGCAATAAAGTGTATTAATCATATGATCCAGCAATCCTACTCCTGGATATATATCCAGAAAAGACAAAAGCTCTAATCTGAAAAGATCCATGCATCCCAATATTTGCACTATTTACAACAGCCAAGACATGGAAACAACCCAAATGCCCAGATGATTGGTTTAAGAAGATGTGGTATGTGTATATACAATGGAACATTAGCCATCAAAAAGAATGAAATAATGCCATTTGCAGCAATATGGATGGACCTACAGATTAGAATATTAATTGAAGTAAGTCAGAGAAAGACAAATATATGATATCACTTGTATGTGGAGTCTAAAAAGTAATATAAATGAACTTATTTACAAAACAGAAACAGATTCACAGACATAGAAAACTTATGGCTACCAAAGCGGGTGGTGGGGGAGGGATAAATTGGGAGTATGGGGTTAACAGCTGCACATCACTCTACATAAAATAAACAAGGACTTACTGTATAGCCCAGGGAACTATACTCAATATCTTGTAATGAACTATAATGGAAAAAGAATCGAATAAAGAATATAGATACATACATATATATGTATAACTGAATCACCGTGCTGTACACTTGAAACTAACATAATATTATAAATCAACTATATTTCAATTTTTTAAAAAAGGAATAAAGTGTATTAATTATTATAAGGCACACAGATCATAACCCTGTTTCATTAAAAACTATAAAAAAAAGATAGCTTTTACTGGGTTAAAAAACCAGCCAGGCTTTTAAGAACTCTCATTTATAGAGTAATGACTATGTGTCAGACACTTTTTGTACATTTCTCTAACCCTCTCAACAACACTGAAAGGTAGAAACCATCAGCCCCCTTTCACAGATGAGAAGCCAAAGCTCAGAGAGGTGAAGCTACATGCCCAGGCTTGCACAGGGAGGAGCAGACAGAACCAGGACTGAGACCTGGGCTCTGACACTCACGTTCACAGCCAGAGCCAGGACTTCCTCTTAGGTCAGTTTTGCCAAGGAATACTCCTGCTGAGTGGTGATCACCGCTTCTTGCCTCACTCCACTGTGCACGATGAGTGGCAGGGCACGTGCGGGCAACTCTCCAAGGTAAGAGGGCTTGTTTCAGCCCATTTGGGAAGCAATACAGTGTAGCATGGCCTTCTTCAAAGTTGTATGTTCACGTGTGTGTGTGTACACGCGCATGTGTAGCAGTGTGTGAAATGCGCTGGGCGCTGAATCTCTTAAAACCATGTGATAAAAATCTGTACATCTTATGAAACGTCAATTTTATTTTTTAAAAATGGAGACTTCTGACTTTATGTAAAAGCACAGATGGCTATAGAATGTATGAGAACACAAACTTCACATGGTATGCTAAGATAACGAACGACAGCTAGCATTTGGGAGGTTCCTATTATGTGCCATGCACTAGTCTAAGAGTTCTATATGTTACCTAATTTATGCTCACAACTGTTTGTGGTAGGGACTTTGAATAATCCCATTTTATAGATGCAGACATTGAGAATGACAGAAGTCAAGGAATTTGTCCAAGTTCACATTGCTAGTAAGTGAAGGCGTGTGGACACTCACAGGCATTTCAGTACCCAGATATTAGAACATCTCTATCATCCATTGTTTGCTCAATGGAAAGTTTACAAAAAAATTCATAAATCCACTTCATTTTGATAAAATTATAAGGGCTGCCAATTTCGAGCTGCTCATCTATGCCAGGTACTCAACCTCTGTGGTCTTATTTAATTCCTATTAACAACCCTATGAAGGAGGTACTATTGGGAAATTTTACAGACAAAATACTGAAGCTCAGAGAGGTGGTATCACTTTGCTGGTCACACAGCTAAGAAGTGGCAGAGACAGGTCTGTCTGATCACAAAGCTACTGCTGGTACCCATGATCCCAGCGTGTCTGGCCTCCAGCTCCTCCAGCCTTGGGTTATGTCCTTCCTATCTCAAGCCCCAGCCCTGTTCTCTTCTAGAGAGGGGTGCTTTCAAGGGTGAGCTTGTTCTGGATCAGGCTGAGCCTGGACAGGCTCACAGGGTCAGAAGCTCTGTCCTTCCACCAGGTGAAAACACCTTTGTCATAAAATAATTACAAATCCCAATAATAAGAAAGCAGTATCTAGGCACTGACTGGGAGTGTGAAGACCTGGTTTTTAATCTCCAGGTCTGTGGCGGGATCTTTCCACATGACATTGGATGAGTCACTTACCCTCTCTGAGACTCAAAGTTTCTCCATCTGTGAAATAGGACTATTCCTAACTCCAGCTGTGACTTACTGAGTGTCTCCATATGCTGGCAGGCTTCTAGGTGCTGTACTTTTAGTCCCTCACTAAAGCATCGGTAGGACACTGGTGGCTCCTTGCTGGATCTCTGAGGCTCAGACAGGTGGAGAAGCTCGTGCAAGGTGGCAGAGCCTGAGACTGGAGATGCTGGCCTGCAGCCCTGCTTTTATGAGTCCCTGCACAGAACTGTCCTGCTGGTCAGATACTCCTGTGTGTGTGTGAAAGGGCTCTGAAGAGCACCCATGCTGGACAGGCAGTACTGAGATGCTGTGATTGGATGATGCCAACACCCTGAAAAATGAGGGAAGAATTATGTGAGGAATCTGACAACCATGTCCAGCAAGCTCTGTGGTTGGGGTCAGTCACCCAGGGCTGACCGAGCACCAAGTGCTTTACAAATGCCATCTACTTTAATCATCACAGTGACAATGTGAGGCTTTGAAAGGATGAATAATTTATCTGTGATGGCACAGCAGATACACAAAGCTAGGATTTTATCCAGTATCCGTCTGATTCCCAAACTCACAGAAAGCCCAGGAGGGCTGTGGTGACTGGGTGAAGCCAATCTATATAACCAATGGTTTGTACAAAGTTTTAAAAGAGCTGCAGACATCAACAGGACGGGATGTGGAGGCTGTGTTGGAGACCTGGGCTCTGAGACTCACTCCAGGGTGACCTTTGGCAGGTCCCATAAATCCATGAGCCTCACAGGGGTGAAATGGAGACAGCACCCCACTCTCCTATTACCACGTGGATTAAAATGCTGTGCACTAATGAATGGCCTTTTTTGAAAACTTTCTTGCTGCTGGCTTTGAACATGAAGTCAAATCTGCCATGGGAAATGTGACTGACAGGATGAGGGACCAACATTTAGGCCCCTGGGCCCACCTGGATGAACCCTCCAGGGAAGCTGGGATCAACCCTTCATGCATCTGGACCCACTGTAAGACCTGCCGGGGATGTGGTGGGGAAGGGATATGTGTGAGTCAGGGTGTGGGTGGTGGTGGTGGGGGTGTGGGTCTTGATGGTCCCCAAGTTCTTGTCTTCTCCCCCCGTAACCTAGAGTAGCCCAGTACCTGGCATCTTGAAACCCGTTTTTTAATGCTAAAAATGGCATACGCTGGGAACAAAACCAGGTTCAGGAAGAACGTGGATCAGGGAGTGGAAGGGTTATTCTGGGGAGTCTGTCCTGGGTACTCTCATTGCCACACAACACACACTTCGAGCCCCAAACCAACTGCCAGCTGGCCAGCGACCACCTCGACTTAGGGTAATGAGTTCCATATGTTTCCGTAAGAACCCAGCTAAGCTTTTCCCCAGCAGTTCTTAAAAAGTGTTCTCTCCCCTCCCCAGCATCGCTTGGCCACCCTTGTTTCATTGCTCCTAATGAGGATGGGAGGAAGGGAGCTGGGTGGCAGTGACAAGGAGACAATGTTTTAGGGAATCCTTATTCCCTGAATTCACATTTCCAGATCCTCAGATAGGGGGCTGTGCAGTCCACCACCCCTTGCAGTCCCTCTATGAGAGCTGTGTGAGTCCTGAAGCCTCTCAGGGCCTCAGCTGCCCCATTTCTAAAGTGGGAATAACAATCCTTGCTCAGGGTAGGCAGAGTATCACGAAAAGAGCCCTAGACATAAAGATAAGAGGCATGGGTTCAAGTCTTGCCTTGACCACTAACTTGCTGTGTGTCCCTGAGCAGTCTCCTTCCCCTCTCTGGGCCATATGTGTGAACTCTAAGGGTCCTTCCGTCCCTGACAGCCTTTAGATGTATGAACAGGTGACAGAAGGTACAGGAAAGAGCATCAACTTACCTGTTAAACATGGGTGGCTCCAAGGTGGAGTCCCCTGGGAAGCCTAAGGTCCTTCTGCCATGGCCAGGGTTACTGACAGTCTGACCATGGTCTGGCCCAATGAGGGTTTTGCCTCCAACCTCTGGCATGAGGTAGGAGCAGGGTGGAGTTGAGGACAGGAAGTGCCCCAGATGGATGGCTAGCTCCCCAGCCTGGGTGATGCAGAGGATGGCCATAGTCAGCCCCCAGCCATGGAGGGATATGAATCTGAGTTCAGAGGGCTACATCCTCCTCCTCCCCTTATCTGGCTTGTCAAAGGCAATCCCCAAATCCTGGTCTCTGGGTGACCTATAACTCTGATCCAGACTGTCCACTGACCCTACTCAAAGACTGACTCACTAACCTTGGCCATTGATGCTACCCAGACTAACCTTCACACCCTGTCTGTTAAGCCCGGCCGTAGACTGACCGCTGCTAACTTCTACCCACAATTATCTCCAAATCCTGCTTCAGTCTGGCTGAACCCCAATTCTGGCCACACTCTAACCCCTTACCCTACTTTCAGACTGACCCCTGATTTTGGTCACAAAGCGATCCCTTAACCTTGCCACTGACTGACGCTTAACAGGAGAAATAATCAGAGAACAAGTAAATGCTACACTCTGTGAGTGAAACAGGACATCAGAGAGGAGAGTCGGGCGGGGTGGGGAGGGAGACTGGGGCAGAGGGCAGAGGCTTCCCGGAGGACCCCGGTGGGCCTGGGGCCACCCTCGGAAGGTCGGAGAGGCCTTGTGCGGGGCACGTCGCAGGCGCTCGAGGAATGCAAGTTGCCTGAAAGAATGAAGGAAGGAAGGAACGGGGTGCGATCCAGGTTGGCCGCCCGGGCCCGGGCAAAGCTGCCGAGGCAGGAAGACGGGTGGGGGCGCACCGAGGCTGCAGCGGCTCGAGCACAGCTGGGGGCAGCAGGAGAGCAGTCGGGTCAGCAACTCCGCTGGGTGGGGGGCCCCCCAGGCCGGGAGGCTGGGAAACGGGAGGCCGCACTGCTGGCAGAGCAGCGGGGG